ACTCTTTGCAGGATTGTGGGGGAGAATTCAATAAGAGAATTATACAAAGAGGCTTGTACATTGTCAGCTGTTCAATATTCATTGAGTTAACATTGTTATAAAAACTGTGTATTATTATCAAATACAGAGTACTGTATAGACTCTGGGTTCTCAACATTGATGCATTTCTACCTTCTTGGAAATATAGCGCTCTCTAGTGGAGGAAGATGGCAAGGAAAATGGAAAGTGTCATTTAAAAGATGAGACGCCAATGGATTGACTCAATGAAGAAACAAATGACTCGTAATAAATGGAAGAAAACCTTGCCTAGGACATCATAAGAAGAAAATGTGATTGAGAAAACGTTATAGTTATCATCTTAACATCATTAACTGCTTCAATTTGCTTCAATGCATGATTAACAATTTTAGATGCTGCCAAACATATAAAATAATTAACAAGAAATTTTCCTTTTAGTTTATTTCTTGTAAGCTGACTTTTAAAGACTTTGTGTTAGATAAACAGTAAAAAAATAAATCACTTACCAAGGATTAATATAAAATGCCAAAAGATAATCAGTCCAAAGACATGAGGGTAGCAGGGTTAAGAAAGCAAATATACTCCTACGCCTGTGAGCATTAATAGATAACAGATGTAAAGATGAAAAAGTGGCAAGAGTTAGTAATATAAACTGTGAACAGATATCAGTAAATTACCTTCCAGGATCAATTAATATGACAAGCCCCTTAATTACAACTAAGTATTATTCCGTTCTGTGAAATTTAAATGTGAAGGCTTAAGTGCTATAATGTTTACAGAATCAGTTTTTATTCACACAAGAACTTATTATAATCAGATATATTTCTTTCAACCTATTTTGTGTCAATTAGTCTGCTATTAGATGATTACATTGTGTATTCAGTTAAATGAGGCTGTTAAATGCCTCATTAAGAGTTACCTCAAGTCTTATTCTTGGATATCATTCTTCCAATGTTTAAGTCTATTTTAAGAAACCTCTATAACATCATTTGATAGCTAAACAGCAGCACGTGTAAGAAAATATAAACGGTCAGTTTACATGTACTGATTCTGGTGAAGACTAAACTTTTAAAACATTCTTTTAAAGTTGCACTACTAGGTGTGACTTTCTATATTATTTTTAATTACTACATAATTTCTAAAACCAACGCTTACAACAGAGGTATGGTATGATAGTCAGGTATCATTCGTTCAAGATTGGTAGCTCATCAACTGCTTAGTATGTAGTCTCACTGATACTCAGCTAAGCTGGAGCAAAATTATTTGGTTTCACTTTAATTCCAATTCAGACTGTTGATTTAAAATGCTTGGTTTGAATCCAATTTCAGATATTCAAAGCATTTGTCAAATAGAACATCCATTAATACAGATTTAAAAATATCCTGTGGCTGCATCTGTAGTTATTCTGAGAATTAGGGGAAAAAATACTGTCACCTTGTCACTTCAGTTACTACAAGTCCTCACCGAGATATCTATTCTCAGTCATCCAGGAAATGCTAGAGTTGGCAAAATTGTCTTTGCCAAGAGCTGTAGGAGAATTTGCTTGATTTTATAGAAAGATCCTGCAGTGAATTTTCTTTTGTCTCACTTCTCCCAGAACTGGTCTCCCATAAATCCTATAAATCACGACTGGCTATGAAGTTAGTTAACCCAGAGCTCTCATGAGTCACAAGTGCCTATAATCAGATCAGTTGCTAGTTGGGCCACTCATCACTGCCCCAGGACTAGCCATTTTCAAGGGTGTACCACGTAAGAATCAAGTATCAGTGAGTTAGTCTCTTAATTTTAGAAAGCGTGCTAATATATTTGAATAAAGCAAATAATGTTTCCTATCTTTTCACCATCAAGAGTTTATGAGTTTCTCTTTCTTCACAGTTGGATTAATTGTATTTTAGTAGCAGAATTTAAGATTAACCATTTTAGGGGATTAGAAAACAGAAAAAAAAAAACAAACAAAAAAAATCGCCTACGAAGGATTAATATGAAATGCATATATTTAAATGTACTATGCATGGTTGCTTGCGAAAGAAACAAACTAGATCATGTAAGTGATGCTAGCTTCATGTTAAATGTTAACTTAATTAGTCATTTTGTTGAGTATTGATTGAGCTGGATAGGATTGTTAATTCTCGTGTATCACTGTTAGGAATAATGTCAACCAATTTAATCTTTTGACAATGTTTTTTTAATTCCCTGAACACCTCCTCCCTCTAGGTCCTTAATACGCTGGCATAAAAAAAAAACAAAAACAAGGCCATGTTTTCCTCCCTGGCTTTGATATTTATTTACCTGTAAGTATGAGAGCTGAGAGCCCCAAGCTGTATACTTTATCCTAATTTTTGAACAGAAGTGGTGGCTCACACCACCAGGCACTGATATGTGAGTTTTAGATGGAGATGCTGCTCTGTCTCACGCTGCTTCATTGGAGTCTCTCTTTGTGCCTTTAGCCACCACTTGCTCAGTGTGGCCCCTGCATTTAAGCCCTTCTTCAGCACAGTAACCGGCTCCTCGCATGCCTGCTTTGGTTCTTGTTTAATATAGCACATACAGAGCAGACTACGACACTTTCTCTACGTCAGAATTAAGCTTATATAAACCATTATATTCTGTCAAGATTTACCCATCGAAAAACTACTGTTGCTGAAATTATCAAAGAATAATCAGACAAAACCATTTATCCCCAAAAGATAGTAAAGTTCAATCTGGAGCACACATAGTATAGCTAAGCCATTCAGAGGCTTGTTCCGAAACAATACTCACCAGTTGTATGGAAGCTTTCCATCCCGCTCTAAAGATGCAAAATTAACAAATGTACCTGCTCCGCACTCCCTGTGTGGAAGGAACCACAAAATCAAGGTTACTGCTTGACAGAGCACTCTTTGCCTTGACATAAAGTAAAGAGAGTCTTTACTGGCTTATCATACAGCATTTAATTTTTATTTCAGCATATTAGGGGGGTACAAATGTTTAGGTTACGTATATTGCCTTTGCCCCACCCAAGTCAGAGCTTCAAGTGTGTCCATCCCCCAGATGGTCCGCACCACGCCCGTTAGCTGTGTATATACCCATTCCCTTAAATTTTTAAAAAAGCTAATATGAATACAAGTCCTATATGTTCCTCTTTTGTATACAGTGCAAAACAAAAAGATAAAACAAAATGAAACAATCTTGTGCAAAGTTGCAAATCAAGTTACTCAAGGCCAAAAGGATTCAGTTCACAATCCTTTCCAAAGGGCATTCATGATCCTAAAATAAATCTTTGAACTATGAGGGATATAATATTTTTTACAATGCCTTCAACAGTAAGATATAGAAACTCTCCTAGATAAACAGGATTTTCCATTTTTAGCAAAATTTCTTTGTGGGATTTTGTTTCATAGCATTTCGATGTTCTGTCTATGATAGTGGATCAAGTTATATTGTTTACTTCCTCCAAAATCTTTCTCTCATATTTTGAGGCCCATATTATTTATTACTTGAGATAAAAGAGTGGTATGTATTGAGATAGGTTGGCTTCTGCCATGCCTCTTATCCACAATGTTG